ATGAGGTTACGTTTAATAGCTGGGGCATATAAAGTTTGAGTAAGCTTAAAAACATTATTTGATACCTTTTACTGAGTGGAACCAGTATGAGTTATGGGAATTTTGTTACCGTTACCCATAGAGATGTCCTCATTGCCATGATATTCTTGAAAATTATGCGGCGCAGTGGTGATGTGGTGAGTGGCACCGGAATCTACAATCCACGGATTGGCTGTAGTGGTGAAGCCAGATATGTAGTTGGCTTTGGCCTCAAAATGATTGTGAGATTTGGATCGGCAGACACTCGCGACATGGCCAATCTTGTTGCATAACTGACAACAAATAACACTGGTGTTAGCATTATTCGGGGGCTGCCATTGTGGTGGAGCATTGGAGCGCGTATTCTGACGCCATTGTTGATTGTTGTTGTTCTGGCGACGATTGTTGTTGTTGTTGTTATTATTGTTGTGTTTGTTGCGAGTGACAACTGCAGCAGTGATCGGACTGGAATTTTTCTGAAGACTCTTCATGGCGAATGAAGAGTTCATGATCAAGCAACTTTTCATACAGTTCTTCATAGGTGACAGTGGTGTCACGCGAGCGAATAGCAGCTGAGATTTCACGAAACTCAGGACCAAGACTGCTAAGGATTTTGACAATGAGCTCGGAGTTTGACACAGGGGCACCAGCAGTGGCTAGTTCATCTGAAAGAGACCGAATAGCTTGAAGATATTTGGTAATGGAGCGAGAGTCTTTGGTGATCCGGGCAAGTTGATCACGCAGGCTAAAGATTCCGGTTTGGGACCTATTTGCATAAGCAGTGTGCAAGGCATCCCAAGCCGTCTTAGATGAGTCTGCCGCAACAACCGTGGAGGCAATGGTGGGGTCAACAGAAGCCATAAGGGCATTTTGAATGAGTTGGTCTTGACGGAACCAAGGTGCGTAGGCCGGGTTGGGGATATGTTTGTGCCAAGGGTGTTAGTACGGTTAGGAGTCGGGCTAGATCCATCAAGGTGACCATAAAGGTTATGGCCGTGCATAAGCATGGAAAACTGAGCTTTCCAAGTGGCGAAATTGTGGCTGCCACTAAGTTTGATAGGTAATTGGGAGGCGGGATTGAATTGAACTATGGTATTGGTGCCAGCGGTGTTGTCCGCATTAACAACTCTGAGATTGTTTCCATTGTTTGCCATTGAAAAAAGAATTTGGTGTAGAGAAAAAAAATTGATCGTACTCGTTAGAGTTATATAGGCTCTGATACCATATAAAGACTTAAGAGCTGATGGAAAAACTGTCTTCTGTATTGAATAGCAAGCTGAGTATATATACAAGTTTACCTAAGACTACTCCTTGTATTAGGAGACTTATTTAACGTAAAGGCTATCAAAATAAACTAACTGATAGATACTCTCAATGAGAGAATAAACTTTAGATCTACTTGTGTAACTAAAAGGATAAACATAAAAGATAAAGACTACTAGATGAGAATTCGTAACAATCTGGTAAGAGGAACTGGTGTTCCAATAAGTGTATCCAAAGATGACATGGTTTGGTGTAAATTTGGTAGACAAGGAGATTGCACTAATTAGGTTGGGTGAGAGGGAGTCAAAGGTGACCATAAATGAGTTTAGTTGGTTGTAGTTGAAATTAAAGATAGCGGCAAAAACTCATGAACTAGTAGTTCAGAACTAAGTGACAATTTCTTCTGTTTTTGCCCCATCTGTTTGGATCTTTGTCTAAATGAAGTGGTTAAGAATCAAAGGAATAATCCCTGTATGACAATATAAAACCTTCAACTTTTTCAGCTTCTTGATCCTACCAATGTACTTAAATTTTGGTGCCAGCTGCAAGCACAAACTGTTGAATATCTGCGTCTTTAACAATAGACTTATGGTGTTTACTTTGAGATCTTAGCTAATATAAATGAATCCTGTATGCGTATAGAAAAAAAAAGTATTTTTACAATTAGATGATACAATTTAGTTACAATAGCACTTATATTGGATATTGTGTTTGTCTGGAGAATTTTTATGAATATTTGTAATCTGGTCAATGGATTTAAATAACCGTCATCAACTAACTTGGGATTTAGGGGTAGTTAGATTGATTGATTGATTGATTGATTGTTGCTTCTCCTAGAAAAGAGAGAGAAGTAAGCTGATTAATACAAACTTGGATTGACTCAGTTAGTTATTGGAAGGAGTAAAATCAATCTGTAGTGACTCATTCATCAACTGATACAAGGAGTAACATCAGTTTGGGAAAATGCAGCAGCTGGTTGAATTATGTATTTTTGTTGTTATTATTGAGGATTATGCCATTTGTTATATTGTCCATATTGTTGAATATAGCAGTAAGTTTTACAGTTTGATGGTTATATCTGCAGAAATAAGGTGTTTGTATGTTGCTGAAGAATTTCATGGAGGATAAGCAACTGAATTTGAGTCAACCCTTTCTGTCAGTAAGACGAGTCTCTCCAACAGCGGTTTCTGGGAGAGATGAGACGAAGAAAACTGAATATTCTCTCCCCACTGTAACTCATCCTCCTCGTTACAAATCAGAACTGAAGTCAGGTCCAGTGAGGAACCCAGGAGTTGTACCTTTCCTCTGGGAACAAAGCCCTGGAAAACCCAAGTACGAAAGCAAACGGCAAATTCGTTCTTCTGAAAAACCACCTATTGCCCCGAGACTTCCCCCAGGGAGGAAGCTGAAAGATAACCAGGATTCTGATAATGCTCACGAGAGTCAAAACATTAGGAAGAGCCAAATAGGAAATACTCAACATTCCACACCGAGCTGCATGAATTTGGAAGAAAAGGCGAAGAAGATTGATAGTATTGACTGCTCAAAAGAAATTAAACAGGATAAGGAAAAAAGTGAATCAGAGGATGGTGATGAAGCATACATGGATGCCCCTGATAAGCTTTCGAGAACTGAATCATTCTTTCTGAATTGTAGCCTAAGTGGCTTAAGTGGATTAGACGAGCCAGCAGCAAAACCATTTAGTATCTCGTTAACAGATCCACAAACTAGAGATTTCATGATTGATCGGTTTCTGCCAGCAGCCAAGGCGATGGCTTCAGAAAAGACTTTAGAAATGCCTCACTGTGCGCCCAGGAAGCAACCAGCTGTTCAGGAGCAACCAAGACAACTGAAGAAGGTAGTAAATGGGGATAAGCGACCTCAACTGCGTTATGGACCTAGTTTTGCCCGTCATTATTCCCAGTTTCATGATAACGGCGAAGAAGAAGAAAGTGATGATGACAGTTATGATGATGGAAATGTACCTTATAAAGTTTGTGGATTATTGCCTCGTTTTTGCTTGAAAAGTTCGTTTTGTCTTCTGAATCCTGTACCTGGTATGAGCGTACGAACTCGAGTGCCCGCATCTCCTGCCAGTAGAACACGAACTGGATCATCATCTACTGCTTCTTGTAGCGGATCTGAGAATGAGGATAAGAATGATGTGAAAAGCTGGGACATTTCTGCCTATGCTAATGATCGTTCTCAGAACTATGAGAATAAAGCAATCCCTGGCTCTAATGAAGAAGGAAATAATCCAGAGCCAGTTTGCTTGGGGTTGCAGAAGAATACCAGTAATAGCTTTCCTTATCGGAATGATGCAAGGGAAGCGGATTTAGAAACTCCTCTGGCAGAGAAAACTCTGCATGTAGATATTGTACATAAGGTGGAATCTCCAATTATGAAATCATGTTCTCCTACGATGGAAAGACCGTTTCACTTACATGATCAGGACCGTGAGATTCTTAAAAAGACAACAGAACAAAAGCCCGTGGTAGATTCTTCGCTTAGCTATTTCACTAAGCCTGTGGAGGGTATAACTTCACAGCAAAATACTCAGAAGGAAGTTTTCAATCCACCATCATCAGCAGAAAAATTGAATGGAGGGGAAATGATGGCACTGATGGTTTCTGGACAAGCTCAAGACCATTACCAGGACGAAGTCACCTCAGCGAAACCAAAGAATGATGTTAAACGCAGTACAAGAAAGCAAAATGTTAAAAAGGAAAAGTTAGAGAACTCAAGCATGGCACACTCGGTGCTTCCTGCTCCCCCTCCTTTGCCAAAATCTCCATCAGATTCATGGCTTTGCCGTACTTTGCCTTCACTGTCCACAAAAAATGCATCTTCAAGATTATATGTTGGGACAGGAATAAGTCATGAAAAACAATCTTGTAAGACACTATCTACTGATCCCAAGTGGGAAACAATTGTTATAACAACAAAGGGACATCAACAGTATCCGCGGTATTCTGAGGTAAACACTCCCTCTCTTTCTGTGCTCAAGTTTGTGCACTTATCTCTTCAAGNAAGCTCAATAGAAGTAGAGGATTTTCTGAAGCCTGATTTTTTCCCATGCTTTCCTGTGTAAATGAAATAGTTTCTCGGGTAAATCAATCAGTACAGCGGGCTGCAAGATGATTGATAATATTCGGTTTTGGTCTGATTCTACACTTCCCTTGTCCAGTTATAATGGGTTTGCACTGTAAGTTTTATGCCCAATGCATAATATACTGTAATTACAGCACGGAATAAAAAGTCTTTGTACAGGTAAACATGAGAGTCAATCAACATGAATCCCATATATGATTGATTTATAATAAGAAGGTTTCTGGTTTACATGTATAAGTTCTATCTTCTCTGCTCTTTAAGGTTGACATCCTGCAAACTCTGGTTGTTGATCATACTTGTCCAAGTCAATGCAATGTATTACAGAAAATCATTTTTATGCTGTTTGGCTCCGTTAGCACACTGGTTGAACACTCAACAGTGGTATTTTTCATGATATAGGACCTCAGTTACAGTGAATCAAACTATTAAACTTCAAATTATCCACCTGATGACGATGACAACAACCACAAATCCACTATAATCCCACATGTGGGGTCTGGGGAGGGTAGTGTGTACGCATACCTTACCCCTACCTTGTGGAGGTAGAGAGGTTGTTTCCAATTGACCCCCGGCTCAAGGAACAGTGAAATCCACCCAATGACACCATATCCAATTAAACTCCAAAAGCTTTAAACATAAATATTAAAGTTTCAACCACAACATCCAAATACAATTCAAACTACTGAAGCTACAATGAAGTATTAACATCCGAATTACATCAAACTAGTAACAGATGTTCCGAAAATCACAGGGACATGAAACTAGACATCATTATCACCGGGGACAGCATCATTTACCGGCTCATTGTTATCAAAGTCGATCTGTCGAGAAACTGGCAAACGAATATTATTATTCTTGACAGACTTCACCATCCACTTAACCTGAGCCTTGAGCTGTTTAATATCTTTGTCAATGCGCTTGTAATCATCATTCTTCTCTTGCAGAGACCTTTGACTTAACTCCAACAGCCTCTGTGTTATCTCTAATTGTCTTTGCATTGTCTCCAACTTCCTCCGTGTTGCCTCCAACTCATCCTCCGGCTTATCCTGATTCACAGAGGACTGCGAAGAAGAAGAAGCACCAGAAAATCTAAGCGACTGACGGTTAAATGAACGCTGCCCATCTTGATCGTTGATCGACCGACTCCGAGTGTACTCCAAAGCTTTGTTTATACTCATTCTGCAGGAAAAGCAATTACTATTATACGCAGTCTAACCCTACAATTCTGCAAGAGACTATTTTCACGGCTCGAACCTGTGACATCCTGCGATTACTATTATTATATAAACTTCTAAAGAAAACGAAATTAGAGGAATGCTTGGACCTTACATATGTTTGCTCAGCCTGTGATTCAACCCAAACCCTTTTTCCATCCTTCTTTTTCTTTGCGTGGGTCTCAGGAAAGACCTCATCACTAGACCCATATCTCTTGTACACCTTTTCATGCAAAAGAAAGAATAGGAGTTCATTGGAAGTTCCAACAAATATAACTGAAAACCAATATAAATATATCAAGAAAGTTACCAATCTCCTCCTGGTCCTCATAGTGACTAAACCCTCAGTGTGCAACGAGCTGTCCTTTTTAGATGCTCGGGCAGCCTTTGCCTGGGAGGTCTTCCACTGAATGACCTTACTATCACTAAAATTTTGAAAATGCGCATTGACACTTGGCTCGAACTCTTCATGAGCAGTCCGCAAATGATATTTTTCTTTGAACCCCTCTTTATAAAGATGAAATTTAACAATCTCTGGTTTCAACAACTTTCTACGCTTGCAATTTCCACAAGGACACCTAATCGTGCCTTCATCACCAAATTGAGAAAGCGGTTTGGCATAGTCAATAAACTTAGCTACCCCTTGTATAAATTCTACATCCAATCCTCCACGATTAGGATAATTTCTATTATACATCCATCTATGCTGTTCAGGTTCCATCTACACAATCATGAAAAAAAGGATAAGATAATTCACTTCTTAAAGTTTTCAATAAAGCAATCTTTTAGATATTTATTCTCAATAATTGCTACTTGCCTGTGACTAAAGAATTAAAGTTTCAAAGCATATATCCTAAATTTGTTATTCTCAATGCTTTGTTCTTCGGCATTACAAGTTTATTAAATATTAAAATGTCTGTCATGCGACTTTATAATTAGAGCAACTGTAAAATTTTGGTGTATTACAGAGAAAACCAATGCCAACTATAGAGTAGAAAATTTTCATCACCTAAATGGAATTGGAAACGCAACAAGAATCACAAAGACAGCAGAAAACTATAAATATCAATTTAAAAAACTAGCACAAATCAATTTTCTATATTTTAGTCATTTACTTTCGATAAAAAAACTAAGTCCTATAAGGTACCTGGGACTGCCACTAAGCTCAAAGAAGTGGATAAAAGTGAGTGTCATCAATTAGTGGATAAGATTACCAACAGGATAAATGTTGTATACCCAAAACTTTTATCATACGCTGGTAGGTTACAGGAGATTAATGCAGTACTCTTCTCTATTTACAACTCTTGGGAGTTCTATGTTTATACTACCTCAAAGTGTTCTGAAGGAAACTGATAGGAGGTGTAGAGATTACCTCTGGGGAAGCTCTGTAGAGAAGAGAAAGGTGCCTCTAGTAGCCTGGAATAAAGTATGTATACCAAAAAGTATGGACTCAATATTAAAGGGTGCAATAAGTGGAACATTGCTTCTGTGGGCAAATTATTATGGCAATTGGCAGAGAAGGAAGACCTGTTATAGGTCAAATAGGTACACGAGTTTATATGAAAGCAAATACTAACATATGGACTCATGTACTTTCTCGTGATTGTAGTTGGTATTGGAGGAAACTGAATTCTCTATAAGTAGAAAAGATGGAGTGGTATCATAATGGGTAAATATGCTGACTGCCTCTGGGAAATGCTCAATCGCTAGCAGTTATATTGCTATGTTGGGAAACTTGACTAGACTACCTGCAACAGAGTTAATATGGAGCTCTCTATTATGCAGGTAAAACACATAATGATTCTATGGTTGGCTGCTCAGGGTTGACTGCTTACAAAAGATAGACTTTTGAAATTACATGTTATAGTACAAGACACAAACTGCTGCTTATGTAATGAAATGGTTGCTGAAATCCAAGATCATCTGTTTCAGGACGGTCGATGGACAACAGAATTGAGGACTTCTATACTTCAATGGACTGATATGACAATTCCAAGGGGAACTGTAATACAGGTGTTGGAGAAGATCAAAAGAAAGCACTGGAAGTTTTAAAAAAAGGTAGTAGCTGCAGCAATTTTGAGGGCCTTGATATATTACACTTGAAAAGCCAGGAACGGGAAAGTGTTTAAAGGAATCAATGTAAATACTAATTTTGTGATGACACGGTTACAAAAGGAATTTACAGATAGGATAGACATACAAAGGAATTCTAGGAAAGCTAGAGGTTGCAATTCTTTGCTCCAAAAGTATTGTAATTAGCGATTAGTAAGAGGACTAAGAGTACGTTGCACTCTTCCTAGAAGGTGGTAATGGTTCTAGGTGCTCTTTAGATTGTATTAATTTGTTTGTTAAATGATAATATTTCACAGTAACAACAACAAAAAAAACAAGTCCTTGTTCCACATGTGTAAACAGTAAGAACAATAAATTAAATTACCTATATAAACTAAATCCTAAAAACTAAACATCTGAATTAATAATAAACAAGATTACCACATATAAACTAAACCCAAAATACCAAAAATCTACATAAACAAACAAACTAAAACAGATATCACCACTAAATTACCTAAATAATAAACCAAAAAAAACGCTGATACATCTGAAACTAAACATCTAAATAAATATCTAGACAGATCTCAGAATTAAACATCTACATAAACAATAAACAAAATTACCACATGTAAACTAAATCCAAAAACTACACATCTATATAAACAAATAAAAAACAGATGTAAAAAAAATCGAAGAAAAAAACTGCTGAATACAGATCTGGACAGGGAAAATCTTACCTGAGTGAAGGAGGAGGCTGCCGGTGGAGTTGAAAGTCGAGGAAGAGAGAAATGACCGAAGAAAAAAGAAAAAGAAAAATGAGAAAGAACGAGGGTTTCGTCCGTTTTATAACATTTATTTTCCGAGGGAAACCGTGAGTCAGTCCCGCCAAAACTCACTTTTATTACTCTTCGTACTTTGCCTTGGTCGGAGCGCCTTATTTCCGACCGAAGCCGTCGGTCGGTTGAAATTATTTAATTTCATAGTATTATAAATATTCGTGTTTTCCGTCTAATCTCACTGAACTGCTGAGACCTTTCAATTTTAGGAAGGCTAGAATGGTTAGGAATCACAACAAAAATGGTCCCGAACAATGAATTCAGGCTCAATGAAAACTCTCAGAAATTATAAAGACTATGAATTTTTGTCTGTCAATCATGTAACGTGATTGCTTATTATAGGAAAGTATTCACGAGGAAAATTATTACTTTTATTTGCAAAGTGACTGATAGGCAAACAATGTTTCCTTTTCTTCCTCAAAAGTTAGAAAAAAATACTAAAATTATGTGATATGATCCTAACCAACCGTTATAATTCTGGTATTCTAGGTAGGAAATTGAGTCCTCAATAAAAATACAGTCTACAGATATAATAGAGTAGTAAGAATGGCTATGTTCTTGGTTTCTTCTTTGGATGGTGATGACTGATGATAGCTGCAGTGAAGTTTACTCTAAAGGCCTGTTCTTGCTCCGCCTTATCATTTTCTCAGTTTTAGTAGTGTCAATAGTGGTATTTGCATGTGGTGATCATCCCGAAAAAGACTCGACTCCATCTGAGAAGAAAAATAAAATCAAGCTAAAGCCAACTAGTACTCATGTTTCTGATTGCGGAAGTACTGGTAGCAAAATCGTGTGTATTTTGGTGGTGCTGGTGGTTGTGACGGTGGAAGCGGCGGCTATCAGAGGCAGCGCCAGCCCTTTGGATATGCGCAGTGAATCCTGAACCATAAATTTTGAATGCAGTATTATAGGCTGAAAGTGCTTTGTTGAGTTTCCTTATTATTTTCTTTCGTTTGTCCGCTTTACGTTTACCTTTTATTTTAAAACCAATCATCACTCCTTAATTAATTATGTTAGTATTCTGTATTCAAAATCAGAAAAACAGAAGACGTGAGTTTAAAAAAATAAAAATAAAAAATTCTGAGCCCACAAGTTTCTTGGGTGTCCTTAAAGTTTTAATCTCCTCACAGATAGGGAGTTTTTCCAATTAAAGTGACATTAATGGATTTATGAGATTATTTATTTATTTCAGAGTCGCTATTTGGAATAATTTATGGTATCCCAAGTCACCGGTTTATTGTAAATCCCAAATCGAGTAAATTGACTCTTATTTATGGTCTACGAACACAAAAGACCAAGTAAGGAATTCTATTAACCCGAGAGAAGGTGTGAGGCACTCCCGAGTTTCGTGGTTTTAGCACGATCGCTCAACTATTAATAATTGGCCTAATTATCTAATTTATTACATGTTTTAATCATATTGTGCATTTTTAACCTTTTAATTATTTTAATCGCTTTTTAGGATTTATGGAATTATTTCTTGAACAAGTTATGATGACGTACACTCATCGTTTTGGTACGCATTGCAAACCGCGCCACATGAAATGCACCCGCGATTTACGACATGTTTATTTTTATTGTTATTTGAAGTTACGGCCGAGTCACGTGAAACGCACACTCGAATTGCTATTTACATATCATGATTACGAAAACCGTACCCATGGTCACGATGATTTTATTAATCGCGCCTAAAGCAAACTAGGAGGTTCAAGATTAATGAGTAAACGTAGAAATTCACGCCGAAAATTACGTATATTTACCAAGGTGTTTTGAACTTGAAGAATGGGAAACATGGAAAGGAACTAATTAGTCTGATCAGCTTCTCTTCTTGATAGAGACTTATCCCCACCAATAAGATTTGACCAGCTATATAACACTAAGCTTCGTTCTGAATCATTTACATTTCAGCAGAGCAAACACTTGACCAAAATCTTAGAGGGGTTCAAGCAGATAGCATGAAGGCTGAAGCAAAATACTACAATAAAGCATTTCATTTCTCAAAAATAATTTCTGAACCATGGAAAACTAGAAGAACACCAGTAACAAGGTAATACCTGGATTTTTAAGCTGTCAAATATAAAACCTTTTAAGGCATATGTTTGCGACTGGACTGACGAAGTACTCAAGAGCAAATGAGCCTTGATTTACCAAATGAAGTACACAGATCCTTTTATATATGAAAACCTCTCTAATACAAAGGCGGAAGTTCGACAAGAACTCATCGGGAACAAAGGACTCATCGGCACCTCAAACTACCCGGAAGGCTTCGAACCTCAAGTGACTCGAACACCAACTTCAAGCGAGGAACTCAAACTCACCGGTGACCTCTGTTTTGAGGTTGAAAGGGAGGCTTTTTGCATTCAAGCTGGCGGCATTTTTAGGAGTTATTTCGGACAATTTTTAGCTAGTTTCAATGGTGGTTTGTCGATGTTGCTCGACCATGGTTGTCACCAGACTGTTGGCGATGAAATGGGATGAGGAAGCTGGAGATTGAGGTCGTTTCTTCTGCTTTTTCCTTACTTTGTTCAGAGATGACGATCTCTGTTGGTGGGGATGACTGCCGTTCTTCTTTTTTCAAATGCTGTTATGCAGCTTCTCTTCTTTTTGGGTTCTAGGGATTTTAGGTCTTAGTTCCTCTTTAGGAATTAAAGAATGAGATATATAAAAGATGTGGGTCTGTGGAGGAGGAAATCTATGGTCGTCCAACGGGACGGGACGGGACGATATTTAAGCGGGATGGTAGCGGGACGGGACGAAACGGGATGGGACAAACGGGACGAAACGTCCGTCCCATCCCGTCCCGTTAACAAATGGGACGGGACGGAACGGGACGGGACGGGTTCGTGGGCCTTAAGTGTATTTGTTTTTATTTAAAAAAGGCGTATACATACGGAGACACCTAAAGTTGGCACGATCTTTCACTTAGACACTTAAACTAGGCCTCTTTCCAATTAGACACGTTTTTAGGCAATTTTCATACCAATTAGACACGTTTTTTGCTGGTGGCATATAGCGTGACTTCAAGCCTATGTAGGCGCGTGAAGGATTCCAATAAGTGATTTTTCCTTTCCCAATTAGACACATAACGGTAACATGGATTGTCAATTATTATTTAAACCCTAATCCCTTTCCCAATTCTTAAATAACCTATTTGTTCGCTTCTCTTCTTCTCAAATTTATTCAGGCAATTCTCCTTCTATTCTTGTCAATTCTTTTCTTTTCTTCTCTTCTTTCTCTCGTTTCTGTTCTCTTCTTGGTATCAATTAATTTCTTCTCTTCTCTTCTTCCTCTCATTTCTGTTGTTGCCGTGTTTATTAATGTCGAACTTCTCGGAATCGACGAACTCATTAATGTCACCATGCGCTGCTGCTCGAATCTGTAAGTGTGGTGTTTCTCCAAAGTTGAACACTTCTTGGACCCAATTAAACCCTGGTCGTAGGTTTTTTGCTTGCAAAATCGGAAAGGTAAATTGTTTGTTCATAATTTGTAAATTCTGTTTTATGAATTATTTTCTTTGATAAAAATTGATTAAAAGTATTTAGTGATATTTGTAGAAAAAAGGTGGATGTAATTATTTCTGTTGGTATGACGATGAGATGCCTACTCAAGTGAAGAATATAATTTGGGGTTTATTAAATAGAGTCAAAGCTTTTGAAGAGGAGAAAGTTCGAGCAAAAAGAAGACGGATCCTTTTGACGATTATTATTGTATTGTTGGTCGTTTTATGGAAACTGTATGACTGATGTACTTTGGTTGTTTTAGGTGTTGTTGATTAATATGTAATGTTGGTGATGTTGCTTTAAACTTCTGTTTTGAAACTGTTGTTGTAAATATTTAGCTGTTGTTGCTATAAACTTTTATACAATTGAATTTTGTTATAAACTTCTGAATTTTGAAACCGCTGTTGTAATATACAGTTGCTGAATTTTGAAAGTGCTGTAATACACAACTTATGTACAAGGCATAGAACCATAAGATGCAGTTTCAAAACGCAGAACATATAGACTGAAGTTGCTGCTCTATAGACTAATTATTTAGAACATAGAGTAACTATTCTGCTAAAACTACCATAATTCATATTATTGTTCTCGTTGGATCAAACATGGAATAAAGTCAGCAATCCTTAACACGCAAACCGATTTTAATTTACAGATCAACAATTAAAGCAAAAAATACATATATACCGAATTTCTTACTTGTTTGTCCTAATTTGAGTCTCTTCTTTCTGCGTTCGACCAAGATATTCTGTTATACTTTTGCCACTAAATAATGTATGGGAACCTCATCTCAGTACATCGAAGAAATACTAGTTACATAAAACAATCAACTTTATCAACTATGCCTCAATCTCAACCTAGTAGGGTACTAGGGTTCAATTATATGAAAATACTTTGCGTCAATTGCGCTCTATTCAGGTTCATTTCATTCCAATACTAAATAATTTGACTACCACCGACAAATTAGGATTCCAATACTATGAATTCTCAAAATTATACATTTATCCCTACACTTGCTGTAAGTGCAACAACAAAAACTAAGCCTTAATCTCAATCAATTGGTATCACCCATATGGATCCTCTCATTTTGTTATGTTCTAAGCCAAATATGCACTGATTTTGTAAGTTTTTAGGTCCTTTAAGACAACTTCCCTCCATGGGGTTTATGATTAGTACGTCCAATTTTATCACGTTCAGCCATCATATTATTACACCTACCATCCGTGCACATGGAGGTCTACTCACCAATTTTGACCTTTCATTTTCTCCTCTATGCGTTACTTGCACCATCTGTTGGATGTGATTATTTCTAACTTAATCAAATCTTATAGAGTTATATATTCATTTTAACATCCACATTTTTACGTTCTTCATTTTTGTCACTAAGCTACATTTG